TAGTAAATTTATTCAGTTTGCTTTGACATGGTGCAATATCATAGGCTTTCTGTGTCGACAATTCCAGCGGCTATGGTTTCTTCAATTCCGCAGTTGTTAGTTCCGCGAATAATGCGGAAATATCCTGAAAACAGCTGTCGATTACACCATGGTGTTACCTTTCTCGAAAAATGAACAGAAGCANCGTCTTTCTGCTGGTTCTAAGCCTATGAAACAAGATATGAACATACACTTAATGGTGACGGCGTTGCTTACTGGTCTAATTGATAGGTCGCGCAAGAAGTTGCGCCAACCAAAAAAGTACAAATGTACAGAAGCATTTGTCTTGGGAACCTCACCTTTTTCTCCCCAATCGTTATGCCAGGAGTTGGCAATGAGCCAATAGTCTGTACCATTTTCACTTCCCCATCCAATCATCTTTACAGCGTGGTATCCTCGTAGCGGACCAGCGGTGTACTGTAATTTTCTGCTGCCAATAATCTAATTTCTTTTCCGCATCCTTCTGTGCAGTTCAGAACATATTTTGGGGTGCATATAGAAAATGAGCTCTATTCGTCGAGGTGATTCGCAATGGCAAGCTTTTGTTGCGAGTACTAACAGTTGTAGCTGACGTTTATTCAGAAGCCTCACCTTATAAATTCCTGACTTGTAGTGCCTGAAATCTTCATAGACGGCAAACGAGGCCACAACCGGTCCATTCTTTAGTATTTCACTCTGAATGGCTTTAACCGACCGTTTTACGATATAGGCGTCTTTTCCTGAAAAATCAATCTCTACGAAACTCGAAGAAATCCGTTCAAGTGCATACCATAAAGCGGCAGATCGTTGTTACTGGTGATAAACACCCATCATACAAAAGGCCGAGACAATGTATTGAGCCACGTTTCCCGACTGAATAGCTAACTGAAGAACAGTCACTGTGTGATTTCTAATTTATGATTCGAGTGTCCAACCTCCAGGTGAACTCTGTCTTTAACACGCTCCACTAATCGCTTTCATCATTTGCTAAGAAAAGAAGATTAGATTATAGAGATATAGTAGGTTCAACGCAGAACCACACATATCTTTTTAACTCCATTCGGCCTCGTGACGTGCTGTCAGCCCTGCTCCTACTTCCATGACTAATAGCGACAAGTTCTTTTGTTTTAGTTACTTGTTTGCATTTAGTTTTCGCTTTGAAGAAGAACCAAGCTCCCTTTCAGATCCTGCATTTCTAATGTTGCTATTTGATAGATCTTACGCTTACCGTATCGCTTGTCTATCCTATATACTTTCCTAAGACCAGGCTGACATTTCCTTTTACACGGTGGGGTTGGCGCTATCCCTTGGCATTCTCCATAGTAGGTATCGTTTCCGTGTTGTCCACATGGATGAAGTGGATAAGGGCGGCATACACCCTAATGTCAAAACCACTAGAACATTTCGGTGATTAACATTGGGAATAGTTATCTTACTTTAGTGAGATATTCTCCTCCAGAAACAACTCCGTCATATATGAAGTATTTCCAAGCTTCGATAGGCCATCCTCCATGACACCTTGAACAGTGAATTATTAGGTTAAATGAGGCGATATATATATATATATATATATATATATATATATATTGATATTGATATATTGCCGTGCTCTGAGAGTCAATGCTACGAGAATTTACCCGTCACCGCACTGTGGCCTGCAGCACGTCATGATGTCAGTGGCAGAAATGTTCACCTAAATGTTGCACATTAAAATCAACGACTGCTTATAATATCACAGATTAGCTTGCACCTGTTTCTCAGCTTTGGTTGCAATGCAAATACGATCCGAAATTGCAGCTGCCGTAGAAACAGCCCAACATGAGCCTGAAAAATCTAACTCTTTTTAAATTTTTTGGAGTCATAGGTATCTCTTTGAGTGAGCTCACCGCAATTGGCTTGGTCGCGGATATAGAACGTAGTGCAGTTTTTCCAGATAACACGAGGATCGTAGCTGTAAATCTATTTCCTTTAACCTTGCTGTGGTGGGAAGGTGGAGAGGTGTATATATCCAGCTCCTCGAGAACCAGGTTACATGGGCATTATGCACCCTGTTTTCTCTGAGGAGTAGTCTCTCCACTCTTCTAATCCATCTTTTTGTCGAGGCGTCGAGATAGGTGTAAAATAAGTAATGTTCTATACTGCTCTGCCGTACAGACTTGGTCGAGCCGCTTATTGGTCAACATTACGGATAAATCGTCGTTCCCAAGGTTTTGAAATATGTTCAAAGCCCCTAATCTGTAACTTACCTGGCCAAGCGCCTAAACGCACTGGGCTAGTTGCGAAGATTCCCGAAAACTCGAACATCTACAGATCTCAGTTAAGCAACCAACCTTCTGCGGTTTCACCAGCGTTGACGTCCTACTTTATTCCGTTAACAACAAAGGACTGTAAGAAAACATTTCTGATTGTCAGTTAGGAATTATGCGGCGATCTTAAGGCCTACAAAAAGGAGTGAACGACGATAGCTCACTTGCTATGGTCTTCTGGTCGGTTCGTCAAGACAACATTATCAGGATGCAAGCCTTGGGTAGAGAATATGGTTACCTCCGCCTTCCTTCAACTTCGGACAAAGCACTAATATTAGGCTAAGAAGAAGTGTTGCGGAAGCATTTAATATGGATCTAGTATAGTTCTTAAAAGTGGACAACACACTTTCATGGTCATCGTCGGCGATTCCAAGCATAGGATTGGCCCGAGGAGAACAGCCAAAGAGCTACATATAGGGACACACGGAAAGAACAGATGAGCAGGGTGAAAGACTCCGATATTATCATGTATTCCCATACCATCCATTGTAATTCGTAGAACCATCAACTGGAGAAAGGATACATAATGGAAAAGATTACACCATGGTCAACCGAAAAAATTTGCCCAACTGGTCTTGTTGTTTCGAAGTTTTATCGTGGAGATCGAACCATGGTCTCCTCTGCTCCAGAGTGATTCTCCATGTGAGTAGAGATCTACGAAATTCAGGAAACGAAGCCTGAAGACCGTGATCAATTACCGTGGCCGCTTTGCACGCGAATTTTTCAGAAGATGCTGTTATCGACATCATCAACTAGGAATGTAGCCAGCTCGTCCAACATCTTTGCTAAACTAGAAAAGCCAAGAACCTACAATTTGCTAAGAGACGTCTCTCTTTGAATACAATCAAGCTGATACGCAAGCTACACGTAGTATCAATCAACAAATTTGCCGAATTCTAAACCTTTGCCGAGAGGCGACAAAGGAAGACCTGAGAGTGAAGAGCATCAGTTCTTGAAAAAGCAGCTCAGACCGCGAAGATCTTTGGAAAGCCCGCTGAAGTTTGGCCACTCACAAGACCAAGATGAATTCCCTTGATCGTCTGATGGAACGGTTACTGCATTCTGGAGGGCAATGAAGAAGATCTACGACTTTTTCACGGATTTCTTTGACAGCCACAACTACTTTCCTACCTACCATCTTTTGCAAGACGGATATGTCGTTCCTTAGTTCTCCCTTCCAGAGTTTGGCATGCCATTACATGGCAAGTCGATGAAGATTTGTACGGCGCGCGGTCCCGATAGGATTACACCAGAGTATCCAGAGCTTCTTAACAGTTGCCATCAAAACAGTCGAAATAAAGCGTCGTTTTCAGAAGAGTCATACCTAGCAGGACACGCAGAAAACTAAATGAAGGACATCCATGCGAACAGGCAATATCTCAAAAAGGGCTCATTACCACTGACCACATCTACACTTCTCATTGAAGTATTGTGAGAGTACAGGATGCCGTATATTTATGTCTTTAGATATTCAAAGAATGTTCTTGATACAGTCGGGAAAAGAGCGGTTTTTGAAATCAAGGTAACCAGGTATTCCCACTCAATGTATAAGGATCTTCATGAGCTCCACAACAACTTTACTGGTATTTAGCCATTCTACAAGAATTTGATTATGAACGTAAAGGGAACGGTCAGGCACGGAGATATCGTTCCGTCCATACTTTTGGCATGCTTTTGATACCCCAGATAGCACAAAAGACGCTCCCTGGTCGAAAAACCGGCGGTTTGGATAGGGCGTAATAAGGGCCCCAAAACTGGCCAACCCTCCCGTGCAACTTCTGTCGTCATTTCTTCCAACGTCCATTTTACTACTTCTGTAGAGCCTTTCACTTCTCCAACTGCGCCGATTCTCGTGTTTTCTTCTCTAATTTCGCTTTTTTGTGATCCATCACTTACATCAGTCGTCTAAAACTAGATACCCCAAAATTACCGTTATTTGGGCCTTTCCGGTGACCTAAGGACTTTGGCAAACTACTATTGCAAATTGCTAACGAGGCATGTTGCAAAATTGAAAATAAACTTTCTCTGTTTTAACTCAACATCGAATGGCTTCTGTAACGCTTTAGAAACACGTTACGGAGCAGTCAACTGCCGATTTTGTTCCGGATCGCTCGCTTGCTTTAACTCCTCTGTTTTCTAGGATTGACGATTGTTTGCATGAACTTGTTGACAGTTATGTCCTAAAGATTCTAATTCCGGTTGAGGTAGTGAGTGTAGGCTGACCAAAACAGAAATTCCACTCGTTGGCAGTGCAGCCTCTACTTCATTGGGTCACTGACGTAGATGGCAGCATTGTTCTGCTAGCCATAGGTAAGACCCTTCTCACAACTGGCACTAGATGTTCTCGTGCTTTTCAGAGTTTTGGCGCCTTCTTTATCTCCAAGCCCTCCTCTATTTCACAAAGAAAGAAAATATTTATCACATTCCCCTGATGATGGAGTGGAGCAAAAGAGGGGGGTGGGAAAAGGAATACTGTTTGTATGGCGTGAGTTCGGTATGGGGAAAATCATACTATCCATATTCTAGTTAGAATAGAAAAAAGGATAAGAATAATCGTTGAATGTAGCGAATACATATCCATTGTGTGGGCTACGCTTTGTACACTTATGCAAATTTCCATCGTGAAGAGCGGCCTCATCAATCTACACAATAGTGAGGCGGTTGACAAGAAAGAACTCACCTGGGTGGGATATCTACTTCAGGTTCGGGATCTTCTTTGACAATAAGATTTGGCGTCTTATGTTTGTACTTTATGCCCATTATTTTTTGCTCGAAATCAGGAGTCGGATTTGAATTGACCTGCAAAGGGAAGGATTAAGATTTTGGATGAGAACTTTCGTTTACAGAATGAATCACCTCGAAGAGGTCCTGACTCCTCCTGAGGTAAGCCACAAGCGGCTCACCAGTCAAGGTTCGCGCTTCTAAAGGAACTCCTTGGGCAGCTGTAAGAGGTAAGCGACCGAGTATGTTCTCTTAATACATTACATTAATTATTGGCCAGAAATTGTTACCAACCATTCTCGTCTGCTCCAGATCCTGAACAGAGATAGGTGCAAAGCGCAAGCACCAAGTATTTCTGAAACATCATATATCCTCAATCTGTCGTTCAATACAAATGGAAAAAAAAATTATTGTGGAAAGAAGGTCAGGGGGTAACTCACCATATTGCCTCCGATTTTTGAGATGTCGAATTCTGCTTATATTGGTTTTAACCAGCTGTCAAAAGATAACTAGCTTTATCTATGATAAGAAGAGAGTGAGAGGAATCTGCCGAAGAAAGGGTTGCGAAGAGTGGAAGTTTGACTGAGTTTATTATGTTCAAATAGTGCAGATGTTAGAGATGCTATAACTTCAAACCAAGTATGTTCATCCAGTGCGGAACAGCTGCGACTACCAGAACTTATTGTCAAAGCAACGATTCATTTATGCCTCACTACTTTGTGGTACGAGTCAATTGTTGATCAAGGGTTTTCGGTTTTCGATTTGAAATCTACCTCTTGACCCAAAGGTTGTTTTGAACGTCAACCACAGGTTTTGGCAAACTCCAAATGTTTTTTGAACGTTAATTACAGGCTTTGGCAATCTCGTAATCATTCCATATAATTATACTTGAATGCTGTGATCAAAACATTTTGGTACAAAATAAAAGAGCCAAGAATTTACTAGTCAAACATTCAAAGTGTTGACCTTGTTATCAAGGGCGGGTGTGCCTTTCCCTTATTTAATCCTCTTTCTTAATTTTTTGAACCATTTCGTCATCGTGACTGTTCTCTTGTATCATTATCAGTTAGCTGGGTGAATTTTGACTGCTGGCATGTTATGTTTTTTGGAAATACTCGAGAGCCTCATAACCAATATGACAATCCTCTCACGCGCTCCTAACATTCTGCTTTGAAGAGTCAGTTCACAATAATTCTGTAGTACAATAGTACTGCAAAGGTGACAAAGAAAGCGCGAAAATCGGCGGATTCCACGAAAATTGTGAGGCTTTTAAAAAGTGGTATGAAAGGGGTTTGTGCAAGATTATCTGTCTGTAATTGTCTTTGTGTCTTCCACATCTGCGTTCTGATCGGGGGCGTTTCCAGGCTTCACTATTTACAGTGCAGCCTCAACAAAGCCGTCATGATACGATCATTAAGGGGGTGTACGTTGACCAAACCAGTTTTATGGCCCTTTCAATGCCATGTCGAAGTCGTTGTTGTTCAAAGCCGCAAATGTCCTACGTGCTGTACATGTAAATTCTCAGAAAGAGCTATTATGATGTCTGTTCCTTCGGTGGGGAACGGAAATTGCGGAAAATTTGCTTTTTATTTTTGTGAACTACTTATCTTTCAAAAGAGTGCTTTTGAGGCTTTATTCGCACCCAGGGGATTTGTGATTTTGAGTTTCCGTGTTTCATCAAAATAACCAGAAGAACAGCGAAATTGCAGTAGCATAAACAGCATGTCGATAAAATCTGTTGACCAAATTCCAAGGTTTCAAAGGTAGAAGATTCCGTGAGCGGTGCAGAACAAATTTAGCACCAGGACAAAATGGTAAATGGTTTGTTGGACGACATCTTTTTTAGCATTGAATTTCGGATTCGTTCTTGCTCCCTTGAAGAAGAGCTTGCCCCTGCCCCTATTCAGAGATATTCGCTTTCATTGCACCAGGTCTTCTGCAAAAGGAATCTTAAGATTACAATAGTTCAAACCAGACTACGTCCTCCTATCTCTTTTCAAGGAATCTTCTTCTGAATGTGAACTCCTTTTTTTTTCCTTGTAAATTGAGGCACATACCATCACAGGCCCTACGCTTCATCTTTTGATGGACAGAGGCTATTTCTATGAAAGTCATGAGGGCTTTGTTCTTGATCTGGTTCAATCGCACTGCTACCCCTATTTCCTTGAGCGGGCACCAACAAAGTTTCCATTTACTCGAATTGGTCCAGTGGATTGCCCTCATTCGAGATACACAAAGCATAGTAATCCTCCCTTTTAGAGCTTTTGTGAAGAAGTCTGACCATTGCACCATTGCGACCATCCTGGTACTCCCCAGAGATCCATTCAATAGCCGCCCCACTCCAACGCTTATTGCGATATCGCATAACGTTTCGACCCATATGATCTCCGATTTCTTGTGGTAATTCGTCCGCCTGCTCGATGTTTATTTGTGTAAACACGATATCATCTGAAAAAGAGAGGTGATGTGTTTCGCTTCACTGCTAAGTCTTCCATCACAAATTACATATTATATGATGTTCTCAATAGCGGCGCTCAAACGTTTGGCCAGATGTTGTCGCTCTGTCAAACCCCTCTCTGTACGTCGCTTATGGGTTCCACATAGAATTGCGAAATCCTAGCTGTGAAGTTGTCGTAGAGTTCATGTGGCATCTTTAAATACTGGGTATGGACATCCTTGTCGCCCGGGGCTTCTGCTTCTTCACAGTAACAAAAGCCTTCTTCAATTCCATAGACGTCAAACCTGTACTATCACGATCTTGTAACAGTGCGGATGTGATTGATCGTTCTGAACCCTCTCCAAAACTCTGCTTGCTCGCATGGCTGTCCATCTCGCGTTTGCTAGTTGAGGAAGACGCGTGTGAGAAGATTGACTACATGATGGCATCGACGTGATCATATGTTGAATTTCGGAAGGGAGAACTGAAGGAACGACATATCGGTAAATGAGAGGTAGGCAGGTAGACATGACACACGAGATGCAGTAAATGTTCCGTTGAGGCGAATAGAAGTTATTTGGTCTCGTGATTGGCAAAGCTCCGGCGAGCTTCGCGAATGCTCTTTGTGGCTTTGACGCTTCCTCTATGACCGCTGCTCTTCTCCGCGCAGCTTCGCTAGTTTGGACGTTTGCTGATGTTTGCTTGCAGCTCGCTCGATTCCGAACTGGCGTGTCACCTCAAGTGTCTCTGAAGAGAGACGTGCCTTGGCTACTTGTAGAATATCTGCTTCCTTAGCACTATCGTGAAGATGTTCGACGAGGCGGTTGTATTCTTCATCAATGTTGTCAATAACGGAAATTGTCTCCCGAAATTGGCGAGGGAAGCGAAGTGATCAGATAACAATTGAAGTGATGTCATCTTCACTATGGAAGCGTCCACCAGGTAACCCTCATGTCCACAACGAATAAAGGGCTTTTAGAACTGCAAAGCTAGAACTTACCGTGGATAGTGTGGGTCGACATGATAAACTAGGACTGTCTTCTACCCCGCTCATTCCACTCCGTATCATAAGTCCCGATATGTGGTCCCTCTTCATCTGTTCTTACGGGGCCAGCTTTGGCGTTGAAATTATTATCGACGATCCTTTCTGAAGAGCTCTCCCAGGGTCATATAAGATGCTTCCTCTCCCCTTTCTCCGTAGCTTGATGTTGCTGCGGAGGAGCTGGGGCTGAGCCACAGCTTCTTGATCGCAAACTTCCGATTCGGGCTGTCATGTTCTCGTTCGAATCGATGTTCATGACCAAGTGCGTATTGACGAGGACACCTACGCCGCCGATGCCTCAAGCGTCGCATGCGCCAGGGATTAGCCTCACTGCTATCCCAGAGACGGTGTGGGGCGGGCGATCTCGTCTCATTCAGTGCGAAGACCGTTCATAGCTGATCTGCCCAGCTTGCATTACCAATTAGATTTGCGATGCTAGCGTTAGTGCATTGGAATGAACGCCATCTCAGTCCTTCTCTTTAAGAACGGGTCCTGTTTATGTAACTGTTTTTGGCATATGGACGCTCACGATTAGCTTACCAGGCTCTGATGTTGGACTGGGTTGACTCCGAGTAGCTTGTCAAGCTATTCTACAATGGACGAGGGACTTCGAGTTGAGTAACCATACCCAGCACAAAGCTTCACCGTTTACATGACGAATTTAATTTACTCTATTTTGCCTTTGTCAGCCTTGATTAGTAATATTAGCTCCTGCCACACTTACTGTTAGTCGCTTCTCACCGCATCGCTTCTCCCTTCCCGGTGTACCATGCAAACTTCTCATCAATCTCGACTGTGCGGCTCGTCAATTTTGTTTCTATTTTTCATGTGCGCATGACAAATCAGGCCAGTTCGTCAGAGATCTTCGTCGTATCTTCTTCGTTTTCAATTCGCTGGTTGAATACTCTGAATTCCGAACTGAAATTTAGTAGTATGGTCGATGATCTCGGTACACATGAGGATTGTTCGCTCTGCGGTACTGGATTGGAGTTCTCCATTACCCACAAGTTGTGCCATCCTGCAGTATCTAGCCGACATATCCGTCAACCATTCAAAACGTACTTGGAGACTATTGTTCGATAGGCTCCAAACAGACAATCATGGATTTGATCGTAGATCAGTCCACTCGTACTCAGTCTTCTTGCTGAAGGAAGCTTGGAACAACACGGTGGTGGTAAGGAGGAAGTAAGGAGAGGCATAATGTTGGGGAAGAGGAGAGATTACTCAGCAGATCCTATTACGGTACTGTTCGTTCTGCGCTTCTGATTGTCGATACATCTCCATTTGATCTCAACAGCTCAATCAGGAAGGGTGGACTTTGATCTCTGCTTGCTTCGCCTCTCCCTTCCCGGTGCCCACTGCACACTTCTCATCGATCTCAGCGTGTGCGGCTCGTCAAACTTGTTTCTATTTTTTATGTATTTTGTTATGGCGTCTCTGCGTGAATTCTTGAGAGGAGATATGTGAGAATAAGACTTCATTGAACTGCTTTGTTTCAATCGGAATCCCTTCCTGGATTCCCAGTAGTTGTTGTACTCTACAACGATCTAGTCAACCTGTAACGAGTCACACTCGATAGAGCCGTATATTTGAATGTCTATTCTATCCGCCCTCCTTTACAGTTTCCTCTTGTTCACCTTATAATTTCCGTTTACTCGAAAGGGATTCAGGTCTGGTTGACTTTCTCAGTTAGTTAGTTAATTGGAATGATCGCTTGACAAGAGCTATCTTACCACCGTAATTGAAATTCTTCCAAAACCCTTCTAGAAACACTTTTTACGGACATTGAACATTGTCAAAAAATCGGGAAAGAGTAATAACCTATTGGATCTCACATTTATATTTGTACTCAATATTGAGTGGAAGAACAGTGGATCCGGCCCAAATT